CTGCCTGCTCCCGGGGGGGGGGGGGGCGCGCAGCTAGTTCGGGATTCCCTCACCCACTTCTTAAGTAGGGATCCGACATAAGTCAGATCTACGTAACCCGGGGTCTGCCTGTAAAGTATGAAATGGTTGCATGAAAAACTGTGTTTGAAACAATTTGGTTAACATTAACAACAACAAAAATCCCCAAAAATCGATTCTACTACTCAGAACCTTGACAAAAGAATTAGAAGTCTGCAACCGTAGCACTATATGCTTCCCAAAAAGGAAATTATATGACTAAAATCTATTGTAGATTATCTGAATTTTGTAAAATCAACAAAATGGGGGGAGGGAAGAAATCAAATGCTCCATCACAGAACAATTAGTTAATTTTTTCTGATTAGTTTTAAATGAAACAATACTTCACTGTACATTTATAAAAATTACACTACAGTATAGTCACAAAAGTACTAAAGTTTTAGCAATAGGAGATTTTACTACAGACCCAGGCGTGCTGCAAAGCCTCTGCTGTGAATGGGGATAAGACAGACTGAAACTTAAATAAAATTAATGTGTACACTTAGTGTGATTTGAGTGAAATTATATTATGCAGTAAGAAATGTGAAGTATAATACTGTTTCTCATTAGATTTCCAATGCACAGAGACAAAACCTACAAATGGATATGTAGTAGGGATGTAAACTCCCATTTAACCAGGATCCCATGTGCAGGGGGCTGCCCCAGTCAGGCCACTGGTTAACAAGAAGAATCACCTGGTTACCTGTTAATATCCCTACTATATATAGGGAAATCTGTCTATAAACTCTGAACTCTGCCTGAAGTAATAGTCTCACATTTATGACAGCTTGTGCTGAATTCAAAGGGACTAGCTACGACCTACTGTAGGCTGATCATTTTTTATTCTAATTTAATTCATTATACATGGCACAAAAAAAAAAAAATCTACATTTTTTGGCAAGGAGGAAGTGAAAAAAGGACACTTAATAGGGAACCTTAACTAGGAGGTACAGAGACTAAAAATGAACAAGTAATTTTTAGTGATAAACAAGTGGAGTGTTAGAACATTTTTAGCCTCATAGAGAACTTCTTAGCCTGCCTTCAAGAAACACATTTAAAACACTGATATTCCAAAATGACTATTGCAATTATTTCAAGAAAGTCCCATCTTCTCAGAGTAACTTTATGGGTTTCCTTCAAGTACAAGAGACATTCTTATCCAAATAGAAACCATGTTTAGATTATGTAAACCAAAATAATTTAACAAATTACTAAAATCATGATGTGTTTGAAAATCAACTGTTCCACAGAGGCAGAGCTGGAAACCGTTAACCTATTTGCATGAAGTGTTTCTTCAGTCAAATATTCTAAAGAAACTTGGTAAAACTCAGTAGTCTTCCTCAAGCATTTTAATAAATGACAGTGAGCATTTTTTAAAGCCAGGTTGATGTTAAAGATGAAAACAGAGTACATTACATATTTAATTCAGTCAGAAACATGTCACTTTATTTTACTAGTTTATTCTGCTCTCCCTTCACAAAGTATACCTGAAATTCATTGATAATGTCCAAGTTAATCTCTACAGATGCTGCCAGAAAATCTGGTTTTAAATTATTCCTAAATTAGGATACTTGTTTTTCCTCCCTCTGGTTCACAGAACTGCATAATTGTAAGACAAAAATTCATACTTAGAAGATAAAACACACTTACCTAGTTCACCCGCTGCATTTCGGCCTCCAACTGCATATAAATGTCCTTTGAGAGCACTTAGGTGGAAGAAGGTTCGCTTCTCATTTAAAGATGCAACTTGCATCCACTTATTATAGCGGGGATCAAATCTGAAGACTGTGTCAACCGCTGTTTTTCCTTTTGTATCATAATTGCTCTGCCCGCCAACTACGTAAAGAAAGTTTCCAATCACAGCAATGCCATGCTGGTATCTTGGTGCATCCATGGGAGCTAATGATTTCCATTCGTGTGCCTTTTCATCATACATCCGTAATTCTTTGCTGACAACCAGTTGCTGCCTTAACACTCCCCCCAATGTTACTAAATGAGTATTATCTGATCGAATGGCAGTTCTTTCTGACTGCATGACTGGCTGCATGTACGGCATCATTTGGTAGTTGCTGGCTTCCAAAAGCAAATTCACACACGTGTTGTCAGTTCTCATGAAATCCACTGTTTGTACATAATTAATAAGATCCTGTGGTGTCATCAGAGGAAATCTGATATTCTTCATGAGTTTTGCAGCATATTCCATTCGAGGCTCCTCATACCGTAGCCAGCGACAAGCAGCCTTGAAGAGTTCGAGCTCAGTGCAGTTTTTAAGGCTATTGCTTGAAAGCACAAAGGCAAGACGTTCAAAGGGGAGTTTCACAAACTCACCGGTGCTTAATAATGCGGGGAAGTTCTTCAGGATGAAATTATTAACATATTTATCCACTTCTGTAAGATTGTACGTATTGGCAATCCGCCCAACCTCAACACAATTTTCTAACGAAACCTATTAAGCGAATAGAAAGAGGAATCAAAACACATTCTCCTAATTTGTTCTTCGTTTAGCCACATTAGGATAATGAACAATTTAAGAAATCCTATGGAACTAGCAACATTTGCATCATTTTGCAATGCCCACTGTGATTTGCTCATATAAACAAATACTCAGTCAAATGCAATGTTCATCATTGCAAGGACAGACACAGTAAAGTAGTTGTTTTGAAGAAAGAAATGGGACTACTGGAGAACAGATGGCATATATTAACTAGGTCAGATCTGCTACCATAAAATGAGGATACATAGCAATTATAAGGCACTTTACCTTCAAAGTGCTCTGCAAACATCCTGGTAAGCTGGGAATGGGGACATGCGGTAAGAGGAGAGATCACCACATCGCTCCGGCACGTGAACTCAGGTTTGGCCTTAAATTCCTAACATATTCCTATGTTTAAACAGTTATAACATGAGCCCCTCCATTTTTTTAAACTAGAAAATAAGCCATATTTTATGACTTTTCCTCCACAGATAAGCAATCCTCCAAAATCAGCACTCACGCTGCATATCATTTTTAGTATGTAAGCTGTTCCCTGAAAAACATTCACTTGCACGTGATGGTAAACTATACACAAAGCAATAGCAGGAAACTAATAATTAAGATTTTAGCGATCTGACAAGTTAATCTGCCCAGAAATGTCTTAACTTGCTTCAGGACACTTTGAAGTGTCTAAGAGAAAAACCAGAAGTATTTTAGGAAAACACTGATTGTTTCTCCAGTTACTCTGAATTTTTAATGCCTTAGGTATCTTCTGTGTAAAGAAGAATACTCATGCACCAAAAATAGGCCCCTAAGGTTAGATTTTTATGGGTGTTGTGGCAGGGTCAGTCCCACTCCTGGGCCCCTGACACCTGTTCAGCTCACTGGCCCACCGTCTAGGAGTCACAGTACATGGCTCACTCGCCTTAGTTTGAGATTTGTCGTCTCCCTGTAGTCTTTAACAAGGTTGATGCCAGTCTCTTGGCTCCTCCAATGTCTTGCTCTCTCCAAACTCCTTCTCAGCTCTCTTTCCCCTCACTTACAGGGAGAGTTCTTAAATAGGCCTCCAGGCAGCCCCAATTAGTTTCACCTGGGTCTTAATTGATTTTGCAGCCCCCATCTCAGCTGCCCCTAATTAGCCAGGATTGCTGACTGCCTCTTTCACCTGCTGTATCACCCCTGCTCTGTCACAGTGTATATATTAACAAATGTCAATTTTATCACACAACCAAAAATTGTTACTGATGGAAATATTTTGTCAATCAAAATTTATGGCAGCACAGAAAGAAAGTGCTGCTGGAAAAATTAGGGTTTAAGGATAATTATTATATATACACAACATGCAATGTAGACATTTGTCTTTTAACAGTTACAAAGCTTTATCTTTTTGAATCTCTGCTGTCATAAAAAAATCATCTGGTCCCCACTGTCTGACAGCTCTCTCCCCCTCCCCCAGCCACAATTTTGTGTAATTGTGAATGACGATAAAAAAACTTAATAAAACCTTGATATCTGTGAAAATTATCAAACAAAAATTGAATTCTGCCAAGCTCAATCATAACTAATTTATAGAAAGCTACTAATTTTAAACCTTAATTTCAACAGGAGCAGGTGGTGCACTGAAAGACTTGATGTACATCTATACAGAGACTACGCCAGCTGATGTGGGCTGGCGGGGCTCAGGCTACAGAACAGTTGCCTTGCTGTGTAAATTTCTGGGCTCAGGCTGGAGCCCAAGCTCTAGGACACAGTGAGGGGAATCTCAATTTACAGGTTTGTTTTTCTGTAAGGTCCCAGCTCAGAAGCACTCTTGTTTGACTGAGTTTTGTGTGTGGCAACGGTTTGTATGATACACTGCTAAACGCTAACTGCAGATCTCAAAGTAGACCATCTCAAATCTATTCTGCAAAATACTTACTCTTGAAATTTAAATCGTTACAATGGTTTAATTGACGACCTAGTCTAAATCTCATTTACCACAACTTCGTTGTGCTGCATAGGGATGTAAAATCCCATTGAAGTAGTTAACAGGTTAAACACTGGGTTGGAGCGACCGCTGCCACAGACAATGACTGCTCCAGCTGGCAGGTCAGAGCTGCTGGGGGGGAGGCGTTTAAAAGGAGGGGCAACTACCATGGACAGGGGCTGCTCCAGCCAGCCAGTCGGAGCAGCCCCCGCCTGGGAGCTGCTCCAGCCTCCACAGGTTAACAGGAACAGATAAGCCTCACCCATTAAGGTGACACTTACTGGTTAACCATTCACATCCCTTAATTGTGCATAATCTATTTAATCATCTTAATAACTGATTAAGAACACAAGAACGGCCATAGTGGGTCAGACCAAAGGTCCATCCAGCCCAGTGTCCTTAAGGTGCATTTTCAGGATTGTGCACTTTTCTATGCTGGTCTGGACAATAAATGAACTTCCCTTAACATTTTAATGAAAACTGAAGGTCCCGTGTATATTCCACCATAGCTGAATTTATTTGGTTAAAAATGGTAGCGTTAAGAGCAGGGGGTTGGCTTATCAATGGGTCATTGTGTGGCTACATTTTTTTTTTAAATGGCGGAGGGAAGCAAGTCAGCAAATGTTAGTTCCCAGCCCAGCAAGACAATCTGCTGGCATGCCAGGACTTATGTACCTGTTTGCTGTTCCCAGCCAATGGGAGCTGCAGTAAGTGGCGCGGCCGGCCACATTCGGCCTCTGCTGTTGGCCAGAAACAGCCAATCAGACACAGGGAGCTGCAGGACTCTATGCCTGTAGATGCTCCAAATAAACAAAACGCCTCGATGTGACACCGGCTTATACTGACAAGCTGGGCCCGGAAGTTTGCCAACAGCTGATAGAGTTGGCTTATGTACAGGTCACTGTGTATTTACTTTTTTTTTTTTTTTTTAAACTTGAGGGGTTGGCTTATGAATCAACAGGCTGATGATTGAATATAAATGGTGTTTTCTTGAAAAAGATACCTTTCCACTAGCCAAATGAGTAACTTTTGATTGGTTTTACAAGCATTTAGCCAGCTGTCAGGCTACATTAGACTGTACAGATTAATTCTCATTTGATTTACAGTCATTACTTTTTAAAAATATATAAAAAATACACTTGATTTAGAGTGGGGGAAATACTCTACCAAAAAGCACCGTGTATAATAATCACTCACACTGAAATATTCAAGATTTGGACAAGATACAGTACACAGAGAAAATAGTCTCCAAATACTGCTTAGTACAGAGCAACTTGCTTTATAGCTTCTTTAATTTGTATGTCTTCTGTTATAACCACTATGGTAGACACAGGAGCTGCTGCTATTGTATGAAGCCCAAGAATAAAAGGAGCTCATTAATAGGCAATGGAGTAGTTCAACCTCCATAGCTGAAATGAATGGCAAAGCTTTATGACTTAAAGGAACAGCCTAAGGCAAAATGTACAATTTCTCTTACAAAAAAGCTGATGAGATATTTGAACATCAAAGACATTTTACACACAGACAAAGGCTATAAAATTGGACTAACATTAGCAGCTCTACCTGACAGAGCTGAGGGAGAGTTCATTCCCAATAAGTATTTTTTCTTTAGTGGGGTTTAAGCAAAAACAGCAAAACAGTTCCAGTTAATTCACCCAACACTCCCCTAAAAGCTAAAACTTCCAGTTAAAAAGGAGCAAATCAAGGGAGTAGCTAGCTAGAGAGCTGCAATATATCATCATTCAGAAGAGAGGTATAAATTTTCCACTAAAGTAACAGGCATTTCTCTTTTTCCAGCTTTCATGAATGGCAAAGAGCTCCACAGAAAGTTACTGAAAATAAAACCTTAATTCCTCTGTGCCTCACAATCTTGACACCTCTCTCCCGGTTTGTCTGGGCTCCCATGAAGAGACCTTCACAATGTCGAGGTCTTTTTCACAACCGGCTCTGGCCAGCTCAAACTGGACTGATTCACCTGCACAGATTTTACACCTGGGTGTATCTAAAGGCAAGTTAGAGGGGTGCTTCTCATTGAGCTACCTGCCTCAGGAACATGGGATTTTCAATGAGAAACTTCTTAAGCCACTGCACAACAGCTGGCTGCCACTCTCACCAATCCATCCGCCATCCCTGCCATGCTTTGTACACTTCAGGCTTCCGCGCCAAGCATTCTAGCGGATTTAAAAGTCACGACAGCAATCCACAACATGGAAGGTGAGCTGAGCGCTCTCTCTTCCCCCGCTCTTCTCCCCTGCTTTGGAGATCCACGTTCATACACAAACTGATTTCCCAGTCCACACTAAGGAACTACCATGACCCACCAGAGACTATATTACAGTTAGTAGCAGGGCTGGTACCACAAAGCAAAGAACTGGAAGGGACCTCAAGACATCATCTAGTCCCATCCCTATGGCGGGAAAGTATTATCTAGACTAGTGGTTTCCAACCTTTTTACACCCAAGGTCACTTTTTAAATCTCAGAACAAGCAAAGATCTACCACCCCATCCCTCCCCAAGGCCCCACCCCTTCCTAGAAGCCCCACCCTCTCTATTCTCCTCCTCTCCATCACTTGCTATCCCCAGCCCTTATATACTCTACACTGCCACTCCCCCCCCCCCCCCCCACTTTTTTTAAGAAGAGGTTTTTCCAACATTTGGCCTGTCTAGACTGGACCAAATGTTAGAAAAACCCATTCTTTTGGAATCCCCCTTATTCCTCATGGAAAGAGGAACATAGGGGTTACCAAAAGAGCACATTTGCTCTTCCACTAAAAAAAGCAGAACAAAAAATGCATCCCTGGATGCAGAAGAGTTTTTCCAGGATCTCTCTGGAATCCTGGAAAAACTCCTGCAGTCTGGCCATGCCCTCACTGGGGTGAGACAGGATGTGTGGGCTCTGGGGTGGGAATGAGGGATTTGGGTGTGGGAAGGGGTGAGAGCTGCAAGCTCTGGGAGGAAATTTGGATGCAGGAGGAGATGGAAAAGGGGATGCTGGCTCAGGGAGGGG